TTAAAAATAACATTTGAAACAACAACATTAGGCCTTTTCTTTTGTAAGCATATCACAAAAGAACAACCGCTTATTTTAAAAATAACATTTAAAACAACAACACTATGCCTTTTCTTTTGTAAGCATATCACAAAAGAACAACCGCTTATTTTAAAAATAATATTTGAAACAACGACACTTCTGGCTTATGTAGTCCAACCTTTTTGAAACCGTTTAACTAATGAGCAGCTTAAATCGCATGCTTGCAGAGACTAAAATTTCGTCTTACGTATTTCGTCTTACGTCGTACGCAATATTTACTAAAAATTATTCAATTCTTCTTAATTTAACATATTAAAATTAAAAATTTTTCTTAATTATAGAAAAAAAATATAAATTTTATTCACGATTATGTGAAAATATTTTTTATTTTCAGAATTTTAACTTCAAATATTATTACGCATTTTGCATATATAGGTCCAACAAAATTTCTGGTTCTTTCAGAGGTGCTACCAAAAGTAATACTTATTTTATATTGTTCTTTTGCAACATGCTTACAAAAGAAAAGGAGTATTAATGTCTGTTATCTAATACACCGTAGTAATTGTGTAAAATGTTATTATTATTTATTAAAGCCTCGTTTGATGTCAAACAGTTGATTTCGAGCTGCCTCTTATACAGGGCATAGGCTGTCTATAAGTAGTTTCCATTGCCTTCTTTGCAAGGCGATGTCAATGATCGCGCTGATACTGTTATAGTTTCTGCTTTGTATGTTTTCGTTGACTGCGTCCATGTAGAGCAAGGTCGTTCTCTGCGTGTGTTGCCTTGATAAAGAAAATTTATTATAAATTTTGGGGAGTCAAGAAGATTTTTAAAACATGGTGATAAAAAATAAAACTTCAGTTTTATTAGTGATACACAAACTGAATTCAGTATTTAGTTTGTATACTTCTATTGCCAAGTTTTACATATATACTACAACTATGTCCACTTCCCCCATTGGGTCATAGTGTCTCAATAATTCGTCTAAATCTGACTTTATTTGGTGATTCACTCCAGATACGATATCGATGTATATCGTTCTTCGACTAGCTCATTTACGATCGTTCTTCTCTACATTTTCGCTGCTGCACCAGGATTTCTGTTATCTTGTGGATTCAATGCCAATACTTGCCTCGCTATGTAATATTTCAATTGTCTAAGCGTATGGCCTATTCACTTCCACTTTCTCATTTTTATCTCATTGTGTGCTGATTTTTGAGTCGTTTGATTCAGGTTGGTTTGGTTGGTATATATAAGGTTGATTGGTATATATTATCCTCACTTTTTCTAGTGTTTTACACATAATCGTATTGTGAAAGTGATGTTGAAAATCTTTTTTCCTTTTAAATAAATTATTTTAATATTGTAAAAAACTCTTTAGCTTTAACTCAATAACGATATCTAGGAATCCAACCCAAGTCGTTTCGTGTTCTATTTCTATTTCGGCTAATCCTTCACATCAGTCGGGTCATTTGCTGAACGGTGCGCTGTCCCAACGTCCCACAACATATTCATATATATGTATATATATATATATATTGTACAAAACATAAAATTAAGTGTTTTATAAAATTAAGATAAAACTGCTTTTTTGAAGTTTAACCAGTGTGAGCCTCTTTTGCCTACATTTTGCCTTTCTCTTTAGTATGCATGATTTTCCTTTATTAAACTCTAAAGGTAAAAATAAAATTTTAAGCTATGCTATGCAAAATTAATAATTCTTAACGATGTTAAAGTGAATTTTTTTTTGAAGACAAGCAATCAATTTTTATACTTCAATTAACTTACAATTGCAATGCAAAAAAATACCGCAGTTGCCAGTCATTCTACGGATCGAAAATGCAAATTAATACGAAAATATTTTATTTTCAGCACATCCTGATTCTTTCCATATTTCGAAATGCCATAACCGGTGTAGTCAGAGGTGGATTTACATAAAAACGGGCAAATGTATCTTTTATGAAACATAAAATACATTTGTATTAATTTACAAATTTAAATACCTATAATTTTTATATACCTACATTCTTGTTATTTTCTTACTGTTTTGTAGTTGTAGTTAAGATAACATTCATTTGTTTTTATCTATGGGTAAGTTTTATAATTACGGTCATTATATTACTTTATAAGAATCTTAAAATATTAACATTATTTTCCAATTTCCAACTTCTACGATATACTCTTCCACACGCAAAAAGTGTTCAGATGCTGATAGCTAAAAATCTGTTCTTCTATATGTATTTGGGATAACTAATAATTGCTACGAAGACAACTTCATTCCACGAACAACTTGAAAGTGATAACTCTTTGTGAGTTGGCCGTTTGTCTGTTATCGTTCTTTGAAGTCACATAACTACTGGCTTTTCCATCAAAATTGCACACACAATCATTCATTAGTACTCATACGCACTGGTGACTTTGTGAATTTTTGTTGAAAAAGCAGAGGTCGCATCAAAGGATGATTGCAGAAAAACGGCGATTGATAGAAGAAAAATTTCTTAGTAAAAAATATTTGCAAGTGCCTAAGGCGTAAACACTCAAAAACTGAGCAAAAAAGTTTTGAAGAAAATCACATTTTCCGAATTGAAAATGTATGATTGAAAACTTTGCAAAAAAAATTCGATTTAAAACCAACATATTTCTGAATCTTTAATAGAACAGTAGAATAGCATTTTCGGTATTAAATTAAAAAACAGTGATTGAAGTGAAATGATCATTAAATTATATGATATAAACTGCATAAGCAATTTACGAATAAAATTAATAAAATGCATGTTTTTGAAATTTTAAGGGTTTTTTGAGATATTAAGGATTTTCTATTACCCTCGAAAGTTAAAGGAAAGTGGTACGCAATAGGTTGTATATTGTTATAATATATTCTTTTTCTTTCTGGCTAAAGTACTTTTGCTCAATAGAATCTATGACCACTTGGGTGATCGATCCACTGCAACAAAAGATCCTTTAAATTATGATAATGAGTTATATAGGTGATTTTACAGAAGCGTAATTTGAAGCTCTGGAGTCTAGTTCTGAATTAGCATGAGCATCTACAGTGTCAAACAATTACCAAGCTCTGTGTTTGTTGCACTTAAGCACACACTTTACTTTTATGTACTTGTGTATATCTTCATTTCTGATATACCATGAGGCTTTTAGCGTATATCTCAATAAAATATTTTGATAAGTTTAAAGTTGCTTAATAGCTGATGAAGTAGCTTTGTGATAAAACATAAAGCCATAAAGTAGTTTAGGTTTAATTATTTGCTTATAAAGCAGAATTTTACTTTTTAAATCAAACTTTCCTTACATTATTGCTTCTACATATATTACAGAAATATATTAGAAATGTATTATAAACCAGTTTTTTGGTTCTTATATTCTCTAGCCAAATGTATCTTTAGTCGGAAGTTAGATCTAATTATATTACATTATCACTGTTCAAATTTGAACATGTGTCTGCGCGCTAATTACCTAAGTAACATATTCAGTTATTTGGGTATTAAATATTTTAGCATTTTATTTAATATTTTAGTATTTTATTTTATATTTTTAGTAAATTAAATTAATTTCTAACAAAGGTTTTTCAAAGCCTTAAAATATTTTGTTACCAAGGTTCTTTTACACATTAAAATATTAAATGTAATAACAGGGATTAGGTAATGTAACTGAAGAAAAAGGAAGTAATTAAATAAGGTAACAAAGAAAAAGGTTAAGGGACATTTCCTTTAACCTTGTACCTAAAAGAAAAACCTAATTAAACCTAATTATTAGACTATGTAAAATTTAGTATTTAAGAGCAAACATTATAGAAAATAAACGAGTCTTATATTTATTCTAAAACCGAACAGACGTGTGTTTTTAGTTGTCGTTTCTTTCACAATCACATTATCATCTCACTCTACTTCTATGCATAATGACTTATTTTTTTGGGAATTTGATTTCTAACGTTCTTTTATTTTACTATCTTATTCAATTCTGATTCTGGATATAATAGACATATAATGGACGCAGATTTGTTACATTGGAGCTATATTACAAGTCAGCTTTTTGACCCTTATGTTCTTTAGCCAAGCGTGTCTCTCGTAAAATGTTAGACTTTAGTATTTTACATTATTTTCTCATTCTAATTATACATTATTGGTTTCTATTTTCCTTGGATATTGTTTTCTTAAGCTTGTAATGATAATAGATCTTGTTTTTTAGCATTTACTCTGTTTACTCTGATTCCCGAATTTTGGAACTAATTAATTATCTCATCAATAAGACGTTGCAATTAGACTTAGCATTTTTGTCGACATGGTTAGTACTAGTGTGATTAACTAAATCTGTTGTATACAAACTATATAATAAAGAGGCCATTGGTGAACCTTGAGGAACACCCGCTTTAATTTATTTTGTAGATGAAAAGAGCTTGCCGTCATCAGACGGACATTTATGTTATATAGATAACTCATCTCTCCTGTGCTTTTGTAGGATACAGATATATGAACGCTATGCCGGAAACTATCTAAAAGTTAAAAGGGTTCGAATAGAAAGTAAAAGACAATAACAAAAATTTTATTTAATTTATTGAAATTTTGTCAGTGGTCAGTGAAATCATAGTCAGTGGTTTTGGTACATTTTTTCAGTAACGAATTTTTTTTAAAAGTTTTTTTTTAAATCAATTTTTTTGCATTAAATTATTATTTATTATGGTTGTATTAAATTTTTATAATACATAAGTATTTCAAATAAAAATCTAAATTATTTTTTATTTTCAAAACAATAATAGTTTTCTTTATTCCAAACTAACAACTAGAAAAGCACTTTTACTTTAAATAACTTATTTATTTTATGTTCTGATTTTGTGTGAAAGTAAATTAAATTTATTATATTTTTACTTTATTATGAAAATAAATTTTCTTAGTATTATGTAACAATTTTTAAACTAATTAATTTGTCATAATTAAACGGTTTAAACTTTCTGTTTTTCTTGCAGTAGCTAAAAATTTTCAAACCCAAAATTGCAAAAAAAAAATACAAAGTTAAATAAAATAAGGATAAAGTTTATTACAAAGCACCCAAGTAATTAGCCTGATTTAGCAGAGAAAGGCATATGCCACAAAATTTACTTCACTCACAGAAGCAACAACAACAACAACAACAACAACAAGAAAAACAACAACTCTAACAACGTTTAAGTGAAAGGCTTTCACTTCAAACCAAACTATACTAAACACTCTACCGAACTGAACTCAACTAAACTGTACTCTACAGTGTTACACTTAACTGGGCTAAGCTGATTCAACTAACTGCATGAATTTAAGTCAACACCAAAAAAGCCGGGAGCCCTTCAGTAAACAAGACGTAGCACTACTGGCAGTACTGGACTTGGTTATTGGCAATATTTAGTTTGTAAAATAAACGTTATAAAAAAATTGGTGAGTTGGCAAAAATTTATTTTTATCCCAAAAAAAATTGGTTGCAGTAAAATAATACGGCAAAATACCAGATTAATTTACCTTTTCCGCTCTTTAAGCAGTTTTCACTCGGTTTTTGCAATTTTTTTTTATATAAATTTGAAATGTTTTTTTTTTATGATGCTTACTTGCTTGCTTAAATAAGCAAAAATAAGTTCGTTTAATATTTTAATTTTTAAAACAAGAGAAAAACACATTTCTAACCATTAACTACTTTGTCTAACTGCAATTTGCTAATGTAAGGGGAAGTTACTTGATAAGAGAGTAATCATAGATACTAAATACAGTCTGAAACAGATTTAATAAGACTGGCTCCACAAAATTCCTTACCGCAACAACATCTACAAGTGACTAATAGTAGTTCAATATTATATTATGATTATTTCCTTGGTGTATTTACAATATATTTATCTACAATACATTGGATAAAGACACTGCTTTTAGTAAGATCATAGGGTGGAGATGAAGTTTTTCTATAATTGTCTGTCAAGTGCTTTCTGAACCAAACTGTCGATGTTGAACGTAGATAGAGCGCACCAGATGACTCCTGACCGGCTCCTGTTCAATCTAACTCCACTTCCGGCTTTTAACCGCGAGTTCTATTGGTACGTTTTCGGATATGATGAGAAGTTCGGTGTTTGAGATTAACCATGGCCAGAAGATTTTAAGTATACGACGGAGTGTTAAATAGTGTACACATTATCAATTTAATGTCAAAAATTTTGATGTCAAAATATTACATTTTAAGTAATATTACTTTGTGTTTATTGGTCAAAAAACCAAGATGGAAAAAAGATCAAGTATCAAATTCTGCTTCAAATTCCGTAAAAGTGACGGAGAATTAATGAACTGCTTAAAAATATATACAAAACTAAAACTGAATGCATGTCCGGCACAAATTTTTCAATAGTCTGATCAATTCGGTGATCATGATAAGGACCTTAGCGATGAACAAGCAAAAATTATTCGCAATAAATGAAGCATCAAGGAAGTACAGAAAATTGTTGAAACCAGCGATTATGTGTCTATTATACTTATCGAAAAGAAACTATAGTGTTTTTTTTTTAGCTACATGAGAAGTATCGATATCGATTACTATGGTCTGACAGCTGAAAATGTCGAGTTCTGTTAATATTTCTATTAATTACTGCTGAGCAATTCATTATGATTTCTTTAACGCTAGAACAATGCTTCTAAATTGTAGAAATTTTCTTTGAAAAAAATAAATCCGTTTGCGAAGTTCATAGAGCATTCCATCCTTAGATTTTCAGTAAATTTGATGTGTATGAAGAGATAAACATTTTTGTCTCAGATATTCTTCTCCCAATTTCATTATTTCCTTTTAAAATAGGGATTTTTTTAATTACCATTTTTAGAATTTAAAAAAAGAATTTTTATAAAATATTTAAAAAATCTCTCTTTTCAACAAGAAAGAAGAAGAATTTGGGGGAGAATGTCTCAGATAACAATTATTTGGCCATTTATTTATAGAAATTTTACTGATAATAGCACGTTATTAACAAAGATCCAGAAAAACGGGCTGTAGATTTGAGTTGAACAATCCAAAACTAAACTAAAACTACTTTTAAATTATATCGTATATCGTCGTATAGTATTATAATTTCTATAGAATTTGTAATGCGTTTATATTGCATTTTAACGCCAGTTATGACGGCGGTGAGTATTTTATTTGCTAGAAACTGTTTTACTTAATAGGAAGACATCTTAACGCCAGTTATGATGGCAGTGACTATTTTACTTACTATTGTATTTAAAGAAGAGTTTTCAAACAGTAGTGAACAACAAGAACAAAGTTTTTTATTATTTTAATTATTTGAATTTTCGGCTAACCATATAGCTATTTTGAGTATTGTTAAATATTCAAAACCCGAGTTTATATAACAAATTTTCTTTATTTTTTTTTTTATAGTTGCCCACTTAACATATCTACAATTATTCAAGTCAAAACGACCACTGTAGTTCCAGTGTATAAATTTTAACTTTAAAAGAGAAAACAAAGCTTAAGGCTTCTAATCAATTATCAAATGTGGTGTGTTGCGTGTCTTCTTAATTTTATTAATTTCAATTTCCTATTATGACATTCATTCCATTTGGGTGTCTTTCAAATCTTTTAAGTCATTTATCAATCACTTTAACCTAATTCAAAAATATTACATATTCAATCAAGCAATTTACAAATACTAATAATAGAAATTGTGAAAAGTAGAATAGAGTAGAGGTGGTGTGTGTAAGTGGAAATATTTTTTTTTGCAATAAAACCAAACAAGACATTTGTGCCAATTCTGGTAGCATAAATATTTACACTGAAATGTACTAAAATTGTTACATTTGGTATCCCTAAGTGCTTCACACGTTTCACTAAAAGTATCTACGTAACGTACACAATAGCAAATTCATCTAGACATGTGCATCCCATATTCCTCTCCATACAGACTCATATGTGCTCTTATATTTTTGAGTACTTTAACAGCTTTTATTGAAGTGGGTTGTATGACAATTGTGAAACCAGCACAAGAAGGCACAAGAAGGCTTTTCCACACGGCGATAATAGTAGTTCCACTTCCGTACACATTTCGTGCTACAAGTAAATAAAGTGCAATAACATTGCACTCGTCTGCGTTATTTTGGAAATTCGGTGTCGTTGTCGATGTCGATGTCGATGTCGTTGTCGATGTCGATGTCGTTGTCGTTGTCTTATGGGTGGATATGTGCATCACAGACATACGTACATAATGGCTATCAGTCAACTGTCTAGAATTGATAGCTTTCGATTGTTCTCTATTGACATTTATAGAAGCAGTGCAAAATGTGTTTTTATTACTAATTGAGCTGCAGGTCAAGATGAAGATAAATTTGATTCTTTCGTTATTTCAGACGCTCGTATGCACTATGCCATATCAAAATATCTGAACTATCTTAATGTTTTAATAGATAGATGATTAAGTCGATAAATTTATGGAAAGTGATTTAAATTTTATTAAGATAAATTGCACTAAAAATAATCAGTTTGTTATTTATTTAGTTTAGTAAATTGCTAGCAATTTGTATTTTAAAAAAGATTTTGTTTAAATGGGAACAAAATTTCACTCGTATATACCATCAAGAAAATTTAAAGTGAAATACGCTTATAGAGCTCTATACCTACATACCATCCTTAACGCATTCCCCATTATGTATGTATGTTTTATTTTTTTTGTGCAGGTGAATAATACTACATGTACAGAGTGAGATTAAGAGTGGGTTAAAACAGCTGTTGAGATTAAAGCTTTAATTTGGTTGTTGAGTGGTAGATTTATCATATAAAAATGAAATCAGCTTTTCACAAGATTAATGTGCAATCTCGCTTCAATGGAGATTTTACTTTTTTATAAACTGTAAAGTATGCTTTATTATTATTTAAAATGCTTAACTGATTTGTATATAAGATGAAGTGGTTTGTAATAGGAATGTTGTGGTTTGTATATAGCATAAGCACAAGATTTCAGCCAATATTCAATGTTTTCTTAAAAATAGTCCCAAATAGTTCACTTTGTGGTGTGAAAGTTCGAAATTAATGATCTCAATATATTGCATTTAGTTTTATAAATCTGACGGGGTGAATGTAAAATAAAATTCAACTACAGAACTTAATTTTTCTCGCCTTTTAAAAATATATGACGGATAGAAAATATACAATAAATAGGTTTGGTTAGGTTCAGAAGTCGCGTACTGATAGTTGTCAGCACTTCCACTCGGAGGCATATATTGCCCATTGTGATACCCTCAAAAATTATGCCGGGAGAGGCGAGTTGCTAAACTTTGTTATACTTATTAAACCATTTGGTTTTCCAGATGAAGTTGAGGAGGTGCAATAAGTTTGCATACAATAATTAACTTTTATACACACATACACATACAAAAAGTTTTTAGTTTTTATGAATAAAATCTATAAAAGATGTAAGTAACAACATTTAATATAGATAAGTATTAATTGTCCTAATATATTTTGGGTTAAAATGTCATTAGACTAGGATAAACAAAACGATTTACTAATATTCTGCTTATACTCTGCTAACAATTTCCCCACCAGAACTCTCTCAAAATGGGATTGGGAGGCAGCGCTGATTACAACGCATGAAAAGATAAAAATTTACACTGACGAGTTACAAATAAATAAAGCTACGGGAGTTGGAATATATTCCATGGATCCAGAATAGTACAAATTCTACTATCTGTGCGACTTTGAAAGCCTGTTCTCTTACTGTGAGCATGAACTTTTATGAAAATTAAGTCTATATACTAATTAATAGTCAGGCAGCTATTGATGATGTTTTAGCGGTCTGTGTTTTGTCTAAAATACTTAACGAATGTGAATGATTTATCAAAGTACTAGACAGTAGCTCTAACTCTAGTTTGAGTTCCTGAAGATTTTAATATACTATCAAACGAGCGACCAGTTGAATTAGTGAAACTTAATACCTCTTCCATAAAAACTCTAGTTTAAATATATGTTTCTAGCAGTTAGATGGGAAAATTGATATATGACTATTTTTTTTTCATATAAAAATAGGAATTCGCTTGACTTCAACACTCAAGCCAAGCACAACATGACCTTTATGCACAAAATGCAGAATCTCTGACTTAGTATAAAGAAGTAAAGCGGAAGGATTTGGATTAATATCTGTTCTAAGGGGACACATGTCCATCGGGGGCACTTGAATAGCAGATACTGGATCATCTGTTATATGCATGGCTAGGTGTTTTTTTTTTATTTTTTAATCTATTTTTAAGTCAATTAAGTCCATTTGGTATATCTTATCGAATAAAGTAACTAATCCAGAAGATAGTTTCGTAACTTTTGCAGGACATAATTTTTTGTTATTAATTCTTGTTAAGAAATAGTGAAATATTTTTCTGTTATGTTTATTTATTTAATATCGAAGTCTGGACTATGAGAATATAATTGGAATTAGCAGTATACTGGCTATCAGTGAAGCACAGCAATGCTAAAATGGTAGAGCCTTTGTGCTAGCACTGACCCTTATCGATATGTAGCTTTTTAAATGAAGATCTAAACTTTTACGATTGAAGACACTTTTAGAGCATGAATTTATTTCAAGACCTTCTATCAATGAATATAAAATACCTTTATATTAAATTCAGAAGAAGAAAAGTGATGAGGAAAAAAAGAAGAAAATAATATTTGAAATAACTTTAATTATTTATTTCTTAAAATGTTTTTATCTCATCTTCTTATTACATGTGCAATAATTTTAGTAACTATCTCACATACAAATATTGTGAGATAGCAATTTTAATTCAATATATCCGTATATCCTGACTTCAATATGTGAAGTATGTGTACGTTTATATCTCATGTACCATATTAATTATACAATAGTTTCATGAAGTATATTTTTCGAACTCAAACCGTAAATTTTTGTATTGTTTGCACTTTATTTCAATGCAATTTCAATTTAGTAAATTAAATTTTCCTTAAGTATTCTGAACTGTTTTAAAATACTTTTATTATAGATTTTATTTCTTTTATACTAAAATTCAATAAGTGTGAAAAGTAGTAGTAGCAGTGAAATGCAGCTATTACTGTTGCTTGTGAAAATCGGAATATCTTTTGTATTGCCTACATTTGTGTTAATAAAATTCATTTTGCAAACTCCAAATGAACCAGGAACGAGGAACGAGGAGCCAGGAACCAGGATCCTGTAATAACAACAACTAGACAAACATACTTATTTGTGTAGGTGAAATGGAACAACTAACTGCAGCACAAAGGCATAACAAAGTAAATGTACGTATCCACTTGTATTGCCTGTAAGGACATAGAAACAAACTCAGTCGTTCATATCCTCATACAAGTAGAAATGTTGTACATGTGGATCAAAATAAAAAAGGAAGAAAATATACAATATTTTTTTGTTTTCTTAAAATAAAAATAGTAACACACTTACCAGAAAATCCATCCGGACACGTGCAATTGTAGTAGGCAACACCATCTATACAAGTGCCGCCATTCTGACAGGGCCCCGACCAGCACTCATCCCAGTTTGTTTGGCACTGAATTCCCGTATAGCCGTCGATGCAATAGCACGAATAGGAGCTGTTGTCGTAGTTGTTGCATCCGTCACGTTATTTTTCAGACAAATGTTTGGTAGTCGGTAGGGTGGGCGTGACAATAATAGCGCAATGAAGCGTTAAAGTTGCATGAGAATTGAAAAATAACATGAAAATAAGAAAAATATATGAAATAAATTTTTATATTAATGTATATGTCGGAAGTATCTACAGTACAAATAAAACAATACATAGGCATGTACACACCCATGTTCACATATGTACAATAAAATTACAATATATATTCTCATCACAGAGTTCTATTTAGAGTTTACTAAAGCTACTAAAACTAAAGTTCCTATAGTTTGTCTATTTGTCTTTTTTTCTATTTTTTACAGATTTTTTATATATTTTCTTTCTATTTTTTTATATATGTTTTAATATAAACTTTAGATTTTGTAGATAAAGTTAAGTTCTATGTGAAAATATAGAAAGCTAAAGTGTAGTTTATACTTCCTGTCATCCTCCACTTCAAGTAAATGCGGTAAAAATATTATTTATGTGCAAGTATAAGTATTTCATTTTGCGTAGTTTCATCACTGTATCTTACATGTCTTAAAAAAGTTCCTCAGTCACTGCCTCAGTCAATACACTTAGTCAATATGTATTTTCATTTATTATAATATTTTGATACATGGAAAATACTTCTAAATTCATCAATGTGTTGGAACATCATGGAAACATTTTTCAAGAGTTTTTATTACAATGCAACGTACTTTGCTCTTCAACTTCAATTGTGAAAACTATTCCTTCTATGTTTGCCTTGCAGTAATATATCTGTTCATATATATATTCACCATTTTAATATTATATTTTTATAATTACGATTATACAATGTATGAAGCACATGTATGAACTCATGAACGACGAAGGAGGTTATAAGTTGAAATTGTTGAAATTTAAATAAAAATTGAAGGGCAGTTCAAAAATTATAGATGGCCTATAAAACCAACAAATGTCTCCAATGACCACTGACGATATGTGCTCTTATGATATTCAAATGATGTGTTTAATGTTTCCCAAGACCACTGACGATGAATATTTTCTGATATTCGAAAGCTGTGCTTAATGTTTCCAAAGACCATTGACGATGAATATTTTTCGTGATGTTCCTAACAGTTTCTTTGCCAATCGGAAAAATTCAAATATGTGAAAATAAAATGATTCTAATGAATTTGTTTTTGACGAAAAAGTCAATTATGTCGAAAGTAACTATTTTCTTGATAGAGCTTTGAATTTGACAAGCTACAAGTTCTACGCTTGGTACTTGCAGTCTAAAAAATTATAAACCCATATTTACGCGGATAGAAAGACTATATTTACAGCTGTGGCTGCCTGTGTAAGATAGGCTTCGCGCTTCACCAAAGAGGGAGCATATAGTATATGCTGAATTCCTTAGAATTTGAATGGGCCGTTTATCGTCGCATTATATTGATAAGTGTGTTAAGCATATTGTGGTGTTCAGGTAATCATATTAAAAAACTATTGCCTCTGTCACTTCTTGTTCTAAATATTTGTTTGTACTATATTCCTTCCGAAAACAATTTCAAGTTTATAAGTATAATAAATACCCTACTGACGTTAGGAGGTCCTAAACGGCTGACATTCTGGCTGTCATTCAAAAGGCAAAAAGTCTTCTGTTTGGTTAGGGTTTGTTGCGGTACAAAAGATCAACTATGTTCTATTCTTCTACTCTAAGTACAAGAAGTAGAAGCTATATATGTTTCTCTCTCCAGGGATTATTATTATTGTTAGGTGATGTGGCACTTATTCCGTATTTATTCCGTATGTGCATTAGCGCAGGGCATTCTAACAGCACATGTGTGGCCGACTCCTCATGCTCTTCACAGAATCTACAATTTGCAACCGTAAGTATGCTCAATTTTGTAAGGTGGTGTTTTAGTCAACAGTGCCCTGTTAGGATTCCTGTGATGATTTCTTATGTCTTATTGTTATATGATTCTAAGTTTTTCTTATCTCTTATTGTTATAGGTACCAATAAGTGATTTGGATTGTTTTAATCCTGGTATATTTATTTTTATGAGAGCTCTCCTTTATTTTTATGAGAGAAAAGAGTGTTTTTTTGGAGACTATTTCCTAGTTCACATAAAGGATCCGGCCCCATTATCATATATCCTTTTCAGGGATATATTTATAACAAATAGTTCTAAGAGAAAAAATCAAATTCTATATTGTTGTTTTAGATATGTATATGCATATCTCTCCAGTGATGTATTTATAACAAATAGTTTTAAAAGAAAACCATGTTCGTTTGCACATCTTTAAGTATATCCACAAACTATGCACTCAATACAGTTTCAAATAAGCTGACTGACATACAAATCTTCAAACCAAAAACATGTAAACTATGTTTATTCAGTTATTGGCGTTGAAGTACAAACTCACTCCTCTTTTGCTTTCGAGGGGTGTGCGAAAAGTTTTGCCCTCAATATACATTTAAGTACTTTAAAATTTTTATTTTTTTCTGTTTTATTCTCGATATAATCTCTTCTTAATTTGCTGCATTTTTCCCAACTATGCCTTCACTTTTTAAATCGTATTTAATTCTGCATAAGAGGGATAAACAATGAATTCGAATCATTTTTTGAACATATTATGCAGCTTGCATTTAAGTAGATATGGTTTAACTTCCATATTTTGAAGTATATGCTTGTTAAGTAATTATTTTTAAAATAATTAGTTTGTAAATATTTGTTTTTTTGTTTTTTTTTTTTGATTTTTTGAAACGATATTTTTCAATTTCATTTAAAACCTTGTTTTTCAATTAGATTTCTCTTCCATTATTTGAAACAAATGATTCAATTTTGCATGCAAGCCATTTTCAATCAATTGCAATTTGCTTTTTCTATACGTGAGGTCAATCCTTCTTGAAACGTTAATCAAACGTTATGGATATTTTGCTAATATCCTAGAGGCTATATAATTTTTTTTTCCTCTTCCCCAACATGATGTATGCGATGGCATAAGTTAGTTGCTGTCGGTGCTAAAATGTTACTCATACGTAACGGTGTGCCGGTGCAGTTTCATAGAAGCCAACTTTAATATGCATGTGGGGGGATTGGGGATTGTGAGAGAAAAAAAACTGCATTACAATAAAAACCAATTTTACTCTACTGTAAAAACTGCATATTCAGCATATTTTTTCATTATTGATATTTTCGTATTCGAAGCGGCAATAACTTAAAAGGCGAATAAAAATAGTTTAATTTGTGTTGAAATTCAACTGCAGACGCAGACATGGCCGTGGCGCAGAACCTCAATACCCACACGTTTCGAAAGAAATCAACAAATTGAACAATTCCACAAATATTGCGGAAGGAAAGGAAAATTAAATGTTGCAGCTGCTTTGGAAGTTCTCAATACAGCGGAGCTAAGCAGCAAAATTGTTAAACGTCGTTAGGAGGTTATATGGATGGGCAAGTCACCGGAGAAGTATGTTAGTAAGTGAGGAGTAAATGTATGACGAAATGTATGAGTGACTGGGTGAATGAGTGAATAAGTGAGTGAGTGAGTGAGTAAGTAAGTGAGTAAGTGAGTAAGTAAGTGAGTGAATAGGTGAATGGTTTGGGCATGATATGCACATGTGGGCAAGTATGTAATTATTGCCACTTTGGTTGGCAGTGAGCTTATTGCCACTCGAACAAGTTTTCCGGTATTTGAACAGCGATAATAAGCAAGAAATGCAAAAAAAAGCATAGTGCCACATAATGCAGGATAGGAGGATAATCTGCTATAAGTGTGCACAGGAAATATAAGAGAGAAAAAGGCGGAAAATGGCACTTAAGTGCAAAGCCAACCAAACAGCACTAAATCCTACTAAATAAAAGCCAACCACTACAGCTGTGGCTGCCTGCCACTGCAACATAGCACCTAACTAAACAGCATTCAACTAAATTGCACTTACCTAAAGCAAATAGCAAAGCAAATGCGATAATGTTAAAATATAACGAAGAAGAAAAACGAAACAAAAAGGTAAAGGAACAAAAAAAACTCTATAAAAAATTATTATAAAAAATGTTGAAAAACTCACCTGTTTAAGCCATCGATGCAAACACCAAAAACGCACGGATTGCTGAGGCATGCAAATCCTGCATGTCCGCAACCAAATAAGCCGACAAAGCAAAGAATTGTTACCAGCCAAGCGAATTTAGTGGTCACATCGGAAAATAACTTTGATGGGCTACGTATGTACTGCACGTGCTTGTCATGTAAGTTCCTTTTCATAATACTTTTTACTTTATTCCCTTCGATTTCAGCTATGAAATTAGCTGCAGTTTCTGCTTCAGCTTCAGCTTTGGTTTCAGCTTCAGCTTCAGCTTTGGTTTCAGCTTCAGCTTTGATTTCAGCTTCAGCTTCAGCTTTGGTTTCAGCTTCGACTGCAGCTGATGCTGATGCTGATGATGAAGCTGTTGATGATTTCAAAGTTAATATTTTTGCTACCATATCTTCTTTTTCGACTTTCTCGATTTTTTCGATTTTTTCGATTTTTTCTGATTTATTTCTTGTCATTTGCTGCTCATCGAAGTTGGATGCCGGTCGCGTTTTTTGCAGGTGGTTTCGTTGCATTTTTAGTACAATTTTTTCCATACTTTTTGTTGCTGATGCATTTGTCGACTTTGTTGTTGTTTTAATAGTTGTAATATTTGTTGTAGTTGCTGTGGTTGATAATTTAGCTGCCTTTGGCATAGGTGGTTCTATTGTTATTTGGTTTCGCTGCTGATGATGCTGTTGTTGTTGTTGTTGTTGTGGTTGTTTTTGTTGTATGCAATTCATATTAGTCGCTTTTATTGTTGTATTAAATAAATATTTATCATTTTGCTTGTCTAGTTTATTAGTGCGTTGCTCAGTAGTACACATTCCACGTATATAACAAGAACAATCGTTGAAAAATTGTTGCCAACATTTTGTGTTTTTATTTATTTGCCTTTGATTTTGGTTTTGCTTTTGGTTTTTATTTAAATTTTCAAATGAATTATTATTATGATTTTTTTCTTTGTCATTTAAATAATTTTTTTTGTTCGTATTTCGGCGTTGCTTGACTATCATTTTCACACTTTTTCCTTTAAAATACAAAAAAATGTAAAATCTTGCTTCATCTGAGTTAATTTTTTCGTTATATGGTTACTTCGTAGTATTTTTGGAAAAAACAATTTTTTTGTAATATTTTTTTTTTATTATTATTATTTTTTTCTATATTTTTGAGATATATATTTTTTTTTCTATGAAGTGTTCTTCTTTTGTGAACGTTTCGTTGGCGGTATTGATTGATTATCGTTACAAGGTTTATTATATATCACTTCTTCTTCTTCTTTCTGGAAAAAAAACGTATAAATTTTCCTTGCTTTTCATGCGTTTATCGCACTTTTCTTTCGAAGACTTAGAAGTGGTTTTTCATTGATTGTGTAAACTTTTTGATTGGTGAAATTTTTGTTCAATTGTTTGCTAAAATTAGAAGAAAAAAATATTTGCTCAATTATTAAAATATTTAAAGAAAAACACTTATTTATATATGCTTATAAAATTATTAAAATGATTTTGGTGATAAAAAGGTACATATGTTCTTAAAAAAAAGTATAATGTTTAAAGCCTGTGCAATGTATTTAGATTTTACTTCAGTTATTATTATATTAATTACAAAAAATATATGTAACAGATATTAATTTATACTTCTTGAACCCACGTCACTATACATACACTTCTACACTTTGAAGTTTGGCGTTTACGCAGGAAAAATGCACAAAAAAAATTTTTGGAAAAAAATTAAATTTCGAATATATTTTGAAGATTTTGTTCACTATTAGCATGAACTATGACCCTGAGCAGGTTAACAATGCAATCGATTATTAAAAATAATGACATTATGTCGTTGCAATCCACTATTACTCAAAATCTCTCTTCAAAACTGTTGATGTTATATTAATGCTTCAAGATATATTACAGAAATATATTAGAAATGTATTATAAACCAGTTTTTTGGTTCTTATATTCTCTAGCTAAATCTATCTTTAGTCGGAAGTTAGATCTAATTATATTACATTATCACATTATCATCTCACTCTACTTCTATGCATACTGACTTTTATTTTGTTGGGAATTTAATTTCTAACGTTCTTTTATTTTACTATCTAATTCAATTCTAATTTATTTTCGAAAAAGACCGAATTTATAGATACTGTTAAATATGTGGATCTTCAAAGATTGATAATGTAGTTCAACGCTGCACTATCATGGATCAGTTCAGTTGCTCTACAGTTGATATTTGGGTTACTGTACCATAGAAGCATAGTAAAAAAAAACAGTAAATATTTTATGAGTAACAAACCTTTCTGTGTGAAGAGTATTGAGCCTCTGGAGGACACAAAATTTGTTTTGTTTGCAATTTTTATTTAATTTAAATTTTAGTTTTATTTACAAAATTTATATTTATTTTTCCTTTTAGTTATTATTTTTTTTACCATTTCCTTTTTATTATTTATATTCATAAGTCTTTCTGCATTTTTTTTTCTTTACCAAGTTTAAATTTTTGATTATTTTGCAAATCAAGTTAATTATAATTCAGCTATTCAGCCTACTTACATGTCACCCTCAGATTACAGTTAAACTACATTTAACTTAATTATACAAATTAATCTTAAACGATGGCTGCATTAAATATTTTATTTATCGCTTTCAGCTTCAGCTTAAGCCTTTTGCCAAATGGACATTTAAACTTAACATACATATATAAACAGTGTAGCAAAAACCAAAATAAACAAAAAACAAAATAAAAAATAAATGAATAAATAAAATTACAATGAAATGAAATAATAAAAAAACAAAGAATAACAACAACAACTTCATGTAATACTAGGGAGACGCAAGCAAAAAGTCTTGCCAAACATTGTCTTAAGTCATCTTATCAGTAGCGAGTTTTTTTCTTCTTTATTTGCATACACATTCACATACAAATTGCCAGCTCAACGTTGTTTTTGCAACAACATTCCATTTCCATTTTGTTTGCAAATGCAATGCCGACAGTTTCAACAGTTTAGCAACAGAGCGGCAACCACTAAAATGGCATTGGGGATGTTTAAAATGCGCCTCGTTGCATTTTCATTTTGACTTTTTCTACATTTTGCATTTTGTATTTTGCATAGTTTTCTCTTTTTTTATCAAATCTTTTGCTTGCATTTATAGCACTTGTATTCGTTGCTGTTGTTGTTGCTGTTGCTGTTGTTGCTGCTGCTGCTGCCGCTCCTGCCCGTGTTGTTATTGTTTTGTTCTTGTGCGGCTTATAACGTCGTTTTGTGAGCAATGATGATAAGAAATTCTAAGATTAAGCGACATTATTCTTGATTTTCCTCCTGCTTTTTCTGTTCCCTTTCCTTATTTGTTTTTGTTTACTTAATATTTGTTCTGCAATTGTTGTTGTTGTTGCTGGTTGGAATATTATTATCATTATTATTATGACTATTATTATTATCATAATTGTTGTTGTTGTTGTAGTTGTTGCATTTATCGTTGTTATTGTATTTGAGACTGCTCTTCTTCCGCTATTTTATTACTGCTGTTATAGCGTCTTAAGTTGCATAAATTATTCACTCGAAACCAGTGAAAAGTGAAATTTTGTCATTTTAATGATATTTTTTTTCCTGTCTTATAAATGCATTTATTTTTATTGTTGATAGTGTCAACAGTTTATCTTTGTCATGCGCTAACTCCTTCAGACAAATGCGGCGCTTGATATAGGCCAAACGGAATTGAATTGTGTAATATTATTTTTGATGACTTTTATAAATTTTATCAGCAAACACAAAAAAATAAAAAAATAAAAATAATTACCAATAAAATAATGGAATAAAAATAAAATGTTCTATAAAAAAAATTTAACAAAAAAAGCTTTAAAAAAACAAAAATTACTTAAAAAAAAATTTATAAAAATAATTATATAATTTTATAGCAAAAATTTTGTATAAAAAAATTTTATAAAGAGATTTTTTCGAACAACAATAAGAATTCATTTTATATTATTTAAATTATATAAATTTTTGGGTGACCATACAGCTGTTTCGAGTATTTCCAAATAACCATCATCAGTGGTCTTGGAAATAATATTTGTATATAATTATTCGTAAATAATTTTTTTTTTTGAGACTGAAAGTACCAGGAATCGAACTCGTGCTGTGTCAAATTTAAAGCTCAGAGTCAGCGCACCTTAACCAACTGATCGAAAGCCGCATTTTGTTACTTTGCTGTGAAAGTTTTATTAACAAATTCACTTCCTGTGTTTATATTAGAACGAAATCATAAACCAGCTGTTGAATAATTGAATTAATTAGTTATATTTTTTATTATTTTTAATTATTAAATTTCGATACTATTTTGTTTGTAGGAGTATTATTTGTTACATGGCGTATATATTTTTTCTTATGTATAGAACCTAAACTAGGAACGTAATACTGAAACAGTCATGCTAATGTTACTCCGCGAGTCGCACGGACGAAAAATTAAAATTATATATATAAAATTTTACATATAAAATTATATATATAAAATTTTGTATAAAAAAATTTTATATAAAAAAATTTTATATACAAAATTTTATATAAATTTATATAAAAAAATGATTATAAAAAACATTTGATGCAAACAGACACAAAAAATATTAATATATAAAAAATTTAATAAAAAACATTCTTTTAGAATGTTTATATTAGTGTCTACCTCAATATTTATGTGTTTAAATTTTGTCTGGATTTAGGTCGTGTTTTTTTAAAAAAATACATTTTTATATAATAATTTATATTATATATAAACAAACTTAAGATAAAAAAAAATATTACAGTTGCTATGTATATAATTTTATTTAAGAGATATTTCGGTCTACTTCGAAGACCATCTTAGTTTTATTACAACAAAAAAATGTGAGTGCAAAAAGAAAAAAACATTTTGATTGCAAAATGGTTAATATCTTATTTATTTCAAATTTATAATATTTTATAAAAAAAAATTTTACACAAAAAATGTCAAAAAAAAGTATTATTAATTATTTTCTGATTATATTTAGAATTAAGGAGTAATTATAGAATAAGACCTGTGTAATTGAAATGGGATTGATCGGTTCAGATTTAATTATGTTTCTTACACAAACTGGTCAATATATAGTGAGCGCAATTTACTTAGACGCACTTAATATTTTTTCAAAAATGATACAACGAACTCGAATATAAATGTTTTTTTTGTTGAAAAAGAAAAAGCAGTGCTTGATAGTAAAAAACAAAAAAGAAATATATTTCATATCAGTCATTCTTCTTACATATGTACAAAAACACA